CATCTCCTCCTCCATCTTATCCCCACAACAACAACGCTGTGAGGTAGGCTGGGCTGGGAGTCTGTGACTGGCCCAAAGTCACCCAGTTGGCTCCATGGCAGAGCAGGGACTAGAACCCAGATCGTCTGAGTCCCAGTCCCATGCGCTTAACCACTACGCCACACTGGCTCTTATGGGAAGACCAGCATAAAAATGAATTGAAATAAGCAAACAAAGTGATCAGACTGACACAGGATCCCCTACATAAAAGGGGAGGGCTGTATTCAATGCAGCGTACTCCCCAAGTAGGCACATATAGCAGAGGTTGGCAACTTGTGGTTCTCCAAGGGATTTAGCCTTCAATTCTTATCAACGCCTAGCCAGTACAGTCAATGGTGAAGGATAAAGGGAACTGTAAGTCAAAACATCTGAAGGACCTCAAGTAGTCCATTCATGATGTATATAGGATTGTAGCCAAAGACATGAAACCTAGGCTACAAGTAGACTGAAGGGAATACTACTAAGTAGACATATGGATCGCAACCTAAAGATCTTAATGTTACATGCACCATTAGTGGGAGCATTTTTATGGTACATCCACCTGGCCAATGGATCAAATAATTCCCAGTATGGCAGGCCCCCAAGAAACAAGAAACTCTTAGCCCTCCGCCAAAGGGTTAGAGCTGGGAGATCAGATAAGATTATAACTGGGAACTGCTAGAATTATTTGCTCAGCTCACCGAGCAGCTCACTTTTCAACTATGGTTTGAGAAGCAACATACATCATTAAGAAAATTACATATATACATTAAAATCCATACAATTAATACAAAACCATCCCAACTGGATCTGGAGCAAGCACTGACAGCTGCCTCCCTCTCTTATGCGTACCTCCACATATAGCACTTGATTTTAGATAATTTTCAAAAGAGGGATGTTGCACAGCTATTTTGCCCATTATTATCCATTAGTGGAAACACAGGAGTCAATTCCTCTACCAGAACTTCTCTGAATGTTCAAACCTCCCTCAAAGTTAAATTTCTCAGGTCTGATTCAGTGCCAGCCTAAGTTTAATGTTTAGAGGTATGTGCATTCCGGTTTCGTTTCAAGACAGATAAAAGAACACAAAGTGGTTTCAATTCACTGATTATTAAAACAAGGTCTCATAAAGAGATGATCATTCTGTAAAGGTTGACCTTCGTGACTTAGAAGGATTTTCTAGAAACCAAGAACTGGAGCTCTTGGGTTGTGCCCTGTGTTAAGTCTAACCTAATTCCCATTTATCTTAATGGGCCTATGCTATGCAGGATACTAACATTAGAGTCAATGCACTGATCCTTTGTTCTACCCTTAAGCCAACACAGGGTCAATGCTAGAACACACTACAAAAAAAGAGGGTGAAAATTCTTATATTCTAATTACAAATAAAACATCTTTTCTAGATTGTAAGCCTGCTTAAAATTGCTAGTCTCCACTGTGAGGCTTTACAAGGGAGACAGTTAGATGGTATTTGGCATCGTTTCCCAAATGCTTTAAACATTCATATTGTGCCATTTCCATCATTACTTTTAAAAACAAGTGAAAGACATCTATTAAAGTACATGCTATTAATTCCTGTTTCAGCATATGGATGGGTAAATATGCTTTTACTCCATGAAGCAGAAGATTTTGATGCAACCAAAGTGACATTCTGCTGTTTCCTCTCCCATAGCTGTGCTCAGAGAGGTGCGACATGACAGACAGGCAAGCAAATATTGCTAATTCAGTCTATATGGTAGTTTCTTAAAAGGCATTTTTGACCATCTATTTGAGGGAGGGTGGTAGTTCATTGCAGAACAACATGATTTGCATGCAGAAAGTGCCAGATCCAACCAATTAGGTTTGGGAGTAACAATTCCTGCCCTAAACCTGGAAAGCCACTTCCAGTCAGTGTCAACAATGCTGGGCTAGATGGACTGATGGTCCAACTCAGTTAAAATAGCATCACACTATCCTAATATACAAAATAGCAACCATGCTTCATTTCATAACACTTTAAGAGAACTCGCAGAGCAAATAAGACGACAAACATTAAAGTGGCACTTTCTTATGAGTGAGCTTCGGTCGACTCCAAAGAAACATGCATGGGATCAGGATGAACCTATGGCTGCACTGGGATGTGGAACAGCAGGGGGAAGAGAAAGGACGTGTCCTCTCTTGGGAAAATTCCACAATACATACATGCAGGTATAAGATTACAGTAACAACAGTGAAACATTTCTTCATTTCAAATAGGTTAAACAGATGGGTTGCTTTAAGTTGTTGATCATAGAATTGATTCCCCAGTGATGCGTGCAATCTCAGACTCTGCCAACAGGATGGCTTCATGAATGGAATCACCAGGCTATGCCAGTGTTTCCTAGTGGTTATATTGACAGACCAGGGACAGGAAAATCCAAGTTCAAACCCCAAATTAGCTATCAGTGCTATGAACACGGATGACTCTCCTTCTCTCAGCTTAACATATCACATAGGGTTGTTGCAAGTATAAATAGGGCAGGGAACATCTTTTAAAACCACTCTGAGCTCCTTGGAGGAAGGATGCAATAAAATAATAATAAATAGAGATAAAATGGATGTTTGGTCATAAAGGATAGAGAGACAAAAATGAATTAGGTAAGCCATTTGTAATGATAAAAATAAGTCAAATTAAAGACTTAATTGTATTAATGTGTTTCATTTGACTCTACAACCATTTAATATTATTATTGTTAGTATTGTGCTTTGCACAAGTAAAATTTGGGAACAAATCACTATTATAGGTATTGTTTTGATACTATACTGTATGAGCAAATGTTGTGGAATATTGCTCATTTTTCTTCCTTATTCATTCCACAAAGAATAAAGTATTTAACTTCTCACTAGAACTGCTGTCCTTTAAATCCAACAGCAACAACCATTCTAAAAGCTATGTACAAGGGGGCAACATAGCATATCAAACAGAAAGCACCTCATTTTTGTTAATAACATCAGTAACACTTATCAAACAGGTTGCTAAGCCCTAGTTACCTTGTCTCAGTAGGAGCTCTGCCAATTATGCCCCGAGAATTTAAAACCGCTTTCGTATTGTTCATGGGCTTCAGTCATCCTTTTTTCATATTACTGCAATTTCTCTTTCCCTTTCATTGTAACATACTGTAAGTTCTATCATTTAAATTGTAATCCCTGTCACATTGCCCCACCAAAGATATATACATAATTTTAAAACTTGGCATACAGCCCAATGGAAATGGAAAAGACTATGTGAACACAAATAGCATGCTTATAAAAGGTGTAAGTTTTGGGGAAACACTGAATCTTATTCTCAGGTTGCAACTTTTCATCCAAAAGATGTACAACAGGTAGAAATACAGCCGATGGAGCTTTTTTCTAGTATAAAATAGGTTTACCCACAGCAACATTTACTGAGTTTGAGCTGCTATGAAGCTACACAGTATACTTCTATGCATGACACCTCTTACAGGAATGATTCACTCTGATTGAGGATTTCTACAGCTGTGCAGAGCAGCTCATCCACTCATGTCACACCTGAAATGAAGCTGTTCCCTTCCTTGAAAAAGTACTGTTTTCCCCCTCTCTTCAGTCAATACAGAAATTCTTGCAGATACCAGCAGACCTGCCATGCCTTTCCATATGTGAATACCATGAATAAGGGTGAAACCAACAGAAAAAGGTAAAGATGTTTGCCCCATTAGCTGAGATATGCAAACTTTAACATCTCTAAGATACAGGATTCGTGTTAGCTATTGCTTGTCATCTCACTACAGAAGCAAAATTTGTTTGCACCTCTACTTACCTAGCCATCTACAGATGTCCTAACAAAAATGGTATAAAGCAATATACTATGTATCAATGAGCTCACAGCTGTGCTTTTTGGATTCAATAATCCTGAATATAGAATACACCTGGCTCCAAATTCAAAATCACAAATGCACATTAGAACCACTGCATATGCTGCAAGAAACACCAGCAGTAGATTCAGAGCAGACAGAAGAAAAAGCTTCTGTACACAAGTTCACATTAATGGATGTATGGGATTTGATGTCATACTTAGGTAGTGATATCCACTACCTTTAATGGCTTCAAAAGGAACACATACACATTCATGGAGAAGAATTATCTCTTGATAACTAACCAGATGTTCTGATGGCTATATAGAACATCTAAGATTAGAAGCAGTGTACTTCCACCAGTTGCAGGACAAACAGCATCAAAGAGAAATTGCCTTTAGGCATTACTCATGGGCTTTCTAGATACATTTGGTTTAGCCTGGGTAGGGGACAAGATGGACTTTTGGTCTGATCCAGCTCCTAAGAGGAAAGGAATCCCACTCTCTACAGAGCATCAGGTCTTTCACCCATGTCTGCAGAAAAGCTATGAAGAAGGAATTTAAAATGGGCTAACTTATCCGAGAGTGCATTCCTGTGCATATTTAACCAAAAATAACTTGCCAGGGAATACTTGAAGTAGCAGTACTTTTTTCTGACTAAAGATGCATTGGACTGAGTCCTAAATGGTATATATAGATCTTTCAAGCCCCCACCCCTTCCAATTCCTCAGCCTCATAAGAAATCCTAACTACATCCCTACTTCCTAAATCCTGCTACATGATCTTACATTCATAACCACTTCCCTTCCACGACCCACTTTCGCTTCTTCCAAGTAACAGAGAGCAGCAGGCTGCGGGGAATTAATTGATCGCTAGTAAGTAATATTAGCCGCCAAAAAGCGTTTCCCCAACGCGCGGTTTCTCGCCGCTCGGCATCATTCCGGAGCGCAAAGGCGACATACCAATGCAGGCTGGAGAGACACGCTCAAGCGCGGGTCTCCCCAGCGGCACAGCTGCCCTCCCGCGGCTCCGAGCGCATCCCGCTCCCCACACCCAGCGAGTTTTGCCCACGCCGGTGTCCAAGCACCATCCGCGCGCGTGCAACGGTTCAGCGCCGATAAAGCCCCCCGCCAGGTCGGGCTTGCGCGCTTACCTAACCCCGGCACGAAGGTGTTGAGAAACAGACAGAAGACGGCCACTGGGAACGGCATGTAGGGGATAGCGGCGCGCAGGGGGCCCTTCTTCTCTCGCACTTGCACCACCACGCCGCCGGAGGACGAGGCGGCGGCGGCGGCTCCCCTTGGGGCGTCCCCTGCTGCCCGCCCGGCAGAGTCCCCTTCTTTGGAGCCGTGTTCCATGCCGCCTGTTGAAGCGCGCCGGCAAGTACGAAGGCAGCGAGGAAGGCAGAGACGGCTCGCCCGGGCGCCGGGAAGGTCTCCGCGCGGGCGAGCAGCCTGGGCGGGCGTCCGTGCCTGCCTAAGGAGGCGCCTGAGCTGCTGCAGCGGAGGGGGCGCGAGGCGGGCGAGGCGCGGAGCCGAACACGCGCGCGGGCTCTCCCGAGTGCACCACTTAAAGGGGCCGCGCCGCGCTCGGCTGCTCCCTCCGTCGACTCGCTGGCTCTCGCACACGCTTCCCTCGCGCGCGCCGACTTTCTCCGGCTCGCACGCCTTGCGCACGCGCGCTTCGCCTTCCCGACCAGAAGCGGCGCCGTGCCTCGCTCGCTCACGGCCTCCCCCCGCCCCCCAGTCTTATCCCGCAAAGAGTTGTCGCCCACCGCGCACGTGCCTGCTGCTCTTGCAAAGACAACCTTAGCGAAGCTATTCACTTGTCAAAATGAGTGCGGGGGGGGGGGGCGGGGAAATTTTCTTAAGACTTCACGCGCTTCCCCTTACCACTACCATAATCCCATGTGTTTCCACGGAATAATATCAAATCCATATTTTAGGAGAGGGGTCCCGAGCCCCTTTGGGTCAGTGTCTACATTTGGCTACAGTGTTATGGGCTATCTCCCAAAATAGCTTCCATGCGGGACCATTCTTTGCTATGGCGGACTGAACTGGTTATAACATGCGGCTGTCCCAGAGGGCAGACTGGTGAAACTACAAGAAAAGAAACTTGACGGAAGTCTTCGGTTCCAGACAGAGGTGAGCTATGAGTTCTTTGTGACCATCAAATCCCAAAGGGCAACGTGCTACTTTTTGGCATGCCTGTGCCCCAGTTTAAAAAAGCAATAAATTTAAAAACCTGAAAATAAAATTAAGGGAGGCAGCAGTATAATGGGCAAGAGAAGTAGGTAAATGTCAGTGGTCACCAAGAACAGAGCCTCTGAGCAGAAGAGATCCTAGTACTTGGATAACATATTTATAAGTCTAACTCAAAGAGTGTGCAAGTTTTTTAGTTCTCCAGAACTCTTTGTTGGGCTAGATGATAGAATAAAAGCAGGGAATGGCCGTCCTTGAAGCCATAGGATTGAATCCAATGTTAGTCCCATCCAGAATGATCCATTGAAATGAATGTGGGAGGAGGCTGCCCGGATTCAGATAAGGCTTTGGGAGTGAGAATTGCAGGAGACACCCACCTGTTCCCAGGAGAGCTCACAGATGGAGGCACTTGGCATGTCCAATCAAAGGGATTGCCTAGCTAGTCATTCCAGATTTTCCTTGTAAGTAAAGTGATGGGGAAAGTTGTGGTGAAATACAAGTGCACCTCCCCTCCCCCAAATATTGTGAACGAGGCATGGTGATTGCACAATAAAAGCCTTGCCTCAAAACAATCTAGGACTGTTGGGATGAGAAAACAAAGGATTCATTTTGTGTGGCTGCTCCCCACTGGGTTCATGATTTTACAACTAATGTGCTTTGCATCTCCTGTCATATGGACTTTTTGAGTTTCAAAAGACTTTTGTCCCAGTGACTCCTTGGCCTGCAGAGGTTTTGGACTACAATTCCTAAATTCTGGACTATGGGCCAATGTTGGCTGTGGCTGATGGCACTTGAAGGCTCAAACAGTTGGAAATCATGAGGTTGGGCAATGTAGATCTAAAGGCATGACACCAAGAAAAAATCTGGTGAGAGGAAGGCAAAAATAAACTCAGCCACCAATTCCTGAAGTTGCTTTTGTTTAATGAACAGCTGAGCTGAAAACAATTAAGATAATCTGATATTAGCAGACAGGTCAGGGAGAAGAGAAGCCAAAGTCACCTGTGGAGAAGATGGTAATGGTTCCAGAACTTTTATTTCCAAATAGCAGCATACTTCTGATTTAATGCATATCTACTTCTTTAGATATGGGCAAACCACACAATATTCTAGTGCAGGGCTAGACAGAATTGCTGAATGGAAGAGCCACATATGGTGAATGTCAGATGTTTGAGAGCCGCAAGTGGGTGCCTGAGGGCAGTGGCAGCGAGGGGCAAGCAGACACCCATGGGCACCAGTGTCGGGCAGCAAGCAGCAAATGGGCAGCAACAGGCAGCAGAATCAGGCAGTGAGTGGCAAGTGGAAGCCCATGGGCAGCAAGCCACAAGGAGCCACATGCGGTTTGCAAGCCTCAGTTTGGCCACCCTGTTCTAGCGCATACTCGGGTAACTGAATGGCAGCAGGACTAACATGCCGGAGAGGAGGACCAAATAGTGCTTCCTGTTTACCACCACTTTCAGTGTACGAAAACTGACCAAACTGGCAGTTGAACCTTACATCAGCACCCCCAGCAGGACAGCATTCTTCACTAGCTGGATGTGAAGTAGTTTAGAAGGACAGACTGTGTGGCACATGAGCTGTGTGCGCAAGCAACTCATATTCCCTGCCTCCCAGTAGATGCTGTCCAAAGCAAACCCTTCGTTCTGCCTAAGGAAGGGTCAGTGAAGAGGAGTAGCAGCAATGTTGAACTCCTTACAGTTTAGCTTGTGTTTTCTTTAGATACGTCAGTGTAGAAATTTTTTTTAAGGTTACTGGAGCAGTGAAGACCAGTAATCCACAAAGTGCACAGCAATTGGTTTAATCACCTCTAGTACGTATTGCAGACTGAGGTGGTAATTAGGTCACTGTGAGTGGCACAATTCACAAAAAGGCAGTTGTGTTATTAAGCCCTCCACAATCTATAGTGCTTCCTCTTTGGATTTGCAGGTAATATTTCCTATCTGTCTGGTTTAGCACTGGCATCAGAAGACATTTCAGCCTGTTTGAGCAAGCAATATAAAGTCCATGAGCATCCAATTTTGTCAAAGGCAACTTTGATACATCTATCTAAATGTGCAAATACACGATCAAAGCCATAGTCATTCAGGCTGCCTGACTCTATGGAAGGAAGCCTGGCCATCTGAAGGCACAGCTATAAAGATTATCAAACTGTTTATAGTTCTTGCAGATTTCAAACAGTAAAGGTACACACTTCACCTTAAAGCTTGCCAGGATGAATCTCTTACATTGGCTCAGTTAACAGAGAAAAGTCATTGTTAACAGGATTTGAAGAACGATTGAGCAGGTGTTAGCAAAGATGTTCCAAAATATATAGTATTTGCTTTGTTGTAGCATACATGCCTTTTGCTTGCACTTATTAAAACACAATTACTCCGCTGAGTTTGGCCCACCTACACTTTCGCATATGATTTTTCTTGGTTGTCTCCCACACAGCCAGTCATTTCGTTGCATGTATACACCCACAAAGGTTCTCTCAGGGCTCCCACACAAGGTGAATTTCCTATATAAATCTCCTCACCGCACAGGAAGTTTGAACCCCATGCGCGCACTGTCGTATGTGATGAGTACCTATGTGGCTATTTCAGTATGGGTACATGTTACAGGAACGCATTGCCACACGTGGCTCTCAACTGCCTCTGAGACTCAGCGGGGTATAGCTGCCCTAACCGGGTGCCTTCCAGATGTGTTGGACTACCACCTTAATCATGCCCAGCCCCATGGTGGCCATGCAGACTGCAAAGGATGGAAGATCTGAAAGACCTAATGCAGCATCAGGGTGGGCTGGTGCACATGCAGGGTATGGACGTCACTGTAGGAAATTTTAACTGAAATTTTAACTTGAATGATACCCTGATGCATCTGATTTGCTGCTTGCTATTCACTGTCAAGATAGATTTGCCAGGCTTGATTCTGTTCTTGATTAGACTGACATCAAGTGGGGTCCCAAACCCTTTTTGGATCCATGGGGACATTTGGGAATCTGAGAAACTGCTGTGAGCATCACTACAAAATGGCTGCTATAGAGAATGTAGCTAGTCCTACAATGGCTGCCTTGGGGGCCTGGCTAGTCAAGAGGTAGTAGGGAGGGAGAAATAGTGAGGCTAAAAGCTGAGAGGGAGGGCATAATGGAAAGAGCAGCTGTGGGCCCGGCCAAGTCTTCCTCTGTCCACATGGAGCATTGCTCCATCTCTCTTCTCCAAGCCTCTAGCCTTGCAATTTCTCTCACCCTTCTTTGCTATTTCTCACCCTTCCCTTTCCTGAGCATTTCCCCCTTCCGAGCCCCTATCCTTGCTTTCCCTCTCCCACTCTCTCCTTTATCTGACTATTCCTTTTCTTTCCACCCTCTAGCCTCACTATTCATCCTCCCACCTCTTTACTTTGCTGTTTTCCACCCCTCCTAGACTGACCTTGCTATTTCTCTCCCATTGTCCTTTGTTTTGCTTTCTCTCCCTATGAGAGCACTTCATCAGGAACAAGAAGGGAAATGTGGTACTCTCTTTTGGAGGGGGAGAAGACACAAAGAGTTTTATGGGTGTCATTAGAGGTGCCCATGGTCTCCATGTTAGAAGTACCCTGGACTGAAAGAAAGCAAACAACTGGGTCATAAATCAAATCAGGCCAGAGCTTTCCCTAGAAGCAAAAATGACAAAACTGAGGTTGGTATACTTTGGACACATCATGAGAAGACAAGACTCCCCGGAGAAGACAATCATGCTGGGGAAAGTCAAAGGGGAAAGACCAAAGGGAAAACCAAATATGAGATGGATTGACTCTGTAAAGAAAGCCATCGCCTTGATCTTGGAAGAGCTGAATGGAGCTGTCATGGACAAGGCATTTTGGGGAACTTTCATTCAGAGGGATGCTATAAGTCAGAGATTACTTGATGACACACAACAACAACAACATAAGCCAATACTTTGATGTTAACTCATTAGAACACTCTCGCAAGAAGAGAGATTGCCAGTGGAGAAGTAGGCTCATGCTTTTCCTCAAACTCACATTCAGACTAGGGCAGCCTTTCCCACACTTATGCCATCTGAATGGTTTAGACTTCAGATCCCATCAGCCTTGGCCACTTTGGTCATTGATCAGGAAAAGAACAGCAGGAGCATGCCAGATTGGGGAAAGCTGAAACAGAGGATGCAAACCAGTGCCTTAAA